CTTGGTAATGCTTTATTCACCTAGAGTCCCGGGGAGATCATCCTGGGAGCTGCGTTTCCTGAGAGCGCAACAAATTCACACAAATGTCACTCCAGATAGAATGAATGTTTTTCACACGGCTGTCGCTCGGCCTGGCCGGCCTGCCCCCCTCCCTCAGGCTTTTCAAAATGTATTTCATACACAGACTCACTGTTCTGGTTGTTTATTTAATTAACATGACAGCCCAGCGTACACAGCATTTCTTTCAGTTCTACAGTTTTAACTTTTTACACTTTAGACTCAAGACAGAAAGAGTAAAATTACTGTTTGACTCCTTCCAACCTCTGTAAATTTATATAGATTCCCTGACTATTTCTGTCAGTTAAAACGGTTTTTCAGTATGCTTTAAATATCTGCATTCACAAAGCAAAATCGCAATTTTGTCCCTCCACACACAAAATTCTTTTCCTTCACCTTTCCCCGGGGACGAGAAAGTCTTGTTTTTCCTTTTTAGTGTTTTCAGAAGTTGACATTAATTAATTTTAATTCTGTCACCAAGTCATAAATAATCAATATTGCTCTGTGTATTACCATAAGCCAAGTTATACTGCTGAAATGTGACAGAAGCTAGAATTTCATTAAAAACCCATGACTGTTCCTGAAATTTATTTGAGAACCATGTTATGCTATACTGAAATGCTTTTAAGGTTTTGAGGGACAATATGTTCTATATTTTCAGAAGAAATATTGCTGTATTTCAGAGTTATACTAGATAGGCAAAAAGTGAGACTTTTCAACCACAGACATAATGAGGCCTACCAAAAAACTTTCATATAAAATTACACCTCATTTTCCTAATTTTTATTTTATTATTGTTGCCAACTCAATATTTTTAATAAAATATTGCTTTTCTACAGTGATGAAAACCTTGATTCCACTTTTGATAACCAACCACCAGACCCCATTACATTCCTGCAAAAAAAATCAGTTTTTGTTAAAGATATTTACAAGCTTAGGGGAGTTTAGAAATTCTTGAATTTTAATTACACAATCTAAAGAATAGAGCCAAATATTTCTGACTGGTGGAACACTGAATCCCTCCAAAAGAACTTTGCCATTCAGCGATATAAATAGATTTATGGAGAGAAGCATACACCTTGAGTTTAAGTAAAACCATAGTCAAAAATATCAAATTCTTCTTAACCTGTAACTAAACTAAACCACCACGGGTTTGGAATCTTTCAAAAATGAATGTGACTGTGGTGTTGGAAGTTGGGGGGAAATGATTTTTTTCCAGCGGTAATTTTTAGAGGGGTTGAGGAGCAGGACAGGTAGAATTCATTCAAGTCCAATGCCCAAATCGGTGGGCAAACAATGCACCGTTAAAACTGTCTCCTGGGGGGCTGGAAGGATAGCACAGCGGGTAGGGCATTTGCCTTGCACACGGCCCAATCCAGGTTCAATTCCCAGCATCCCATATGGTCCCCTAAGTATGGCCTGGAGTAATTCCTGAGTGCATGAACCAGAAGTAACTCCTGTGCATCGCTGGGTGTGACCCAAAAGGCAAAAAATCAAAAAACAAAACAAAAGAAAAACCCTGTCTCTTGGAAAATAGCATATATGGGGGCTGGAGTGATAGCACAGTGTGTAGGGCGTTTGCCTTGCACACAGCCAACCCAGATTCGATTCCCAGCATCCCATATGGTCCCCTGAGCACCGCCAAGAGTTAATTCCTGATTGCATGAGCCAGGAGTAACCCCTGTGCATGGCCTGGTGTGACCCAAAAAGAAAAAAAATAGCATTTATGAATCATGCCTATCCTTAATAATTACAAATTTTCCTAGTGCCTCAGTATATTGTCTTATCTAAAGGGCGGGCTGGAGCGTGATAGAGAACATCAGGCCGACAGACAGGGATGCCAGTTACAAACCATCCCCACACCTGCACGGCAGCCTGAGTCTTCAGCCACACTACAGGCTCAACCTGGAAGATACTGGACTGAAAAGGCAGAAGGGAAAAGCAAACAGATGCTGGAAACTTCCTGAGGGAGACGATCAACACCTTCCTCTGCCTTCATGAAGTTTAAAAGCTCATTTTGTCTCTGCTTCGAGTTCTCTAGCCTATGAGCTGCACAAGTCAGCCCTGGAGGGCTGTGATACCCAATCTTCAGACTGAGACTTCTGGAAGGAAGAGAAGGAGGTGGAGGAACAGGTTGGCCACGGAACAGAGAGGCAGAAGAGAATGGAGGAAGGGGAATAGACCTGTCTGTATTCGCAGAATTTTATCATCTGTTCTCAGAAAACTTTCAGAATTGAGATGTGAGGGAGAGGGACTTAGCTCATGAACACTACAAGAATTAAATGGAGAAGAAAGCTCTGAAATTCCCTGGCTTTCACACCCCAACATGAGCAAAGTCCAAGCAAGTTGTCAGGAGGTGATGGCCAGGATCTCTGCATTCTATGTCTTTACCTCCCTTTTTCCAAAAGCCACTTGTTGCCCAAGTACTGTCTTGAGTTGAGACGTCATTCTTTCAGAAAAGAACTCCTAATCAGGAAGTATCCAGGGGTGGGTAATCCGTGTGCTTATAATTTTGATGCTTGACTTCATAAAGCATGCGGATGACAGTGGTACACTTTGCACCCTTAATCAGAAATTTGTTTCCTTATGATAAAAACTGATAAGCCATTTACTACACAACTCCTGAACTTTTCACATAGTTAGGTTAACGTATGAGATATTGCCCTATCTTAGAAGATACTATTTTATATTAGTTCCCACTATACACACACACACATAGACGCACACACAATTATGTTCTGTAACAATTTTGATAGATCATATGTAAAACTAGTCTTCAAGCACACTTACACACCCATATCCTCATTGAAACTTTATATTTAAATTTCTGCAAAATAAAGTAAACATCTTTTTCCTTCAACCATAAGAAATTCTCTTATTTTAGAATAGTCTTCACAAACATAACCTTCTAAAAATAGCAAATGACCACAATAGATTACTAACATGCATTTTTAAACAGCATTAATCAGCAAAATATTTAAAACTGCAATGCTCTTAAACTTTTCAAGTTTGCAGATGATTCAAATTCTCCATTTATCAATTCAAACCAGAGAAACTCAATGACAATCTGTGGGTTAATTAATCTCCACACCTTATCTTAAATTCACTTTTAACTGCTTTCCCTCTAAATGTTAATATCCTTAACTTCTAAATGTTAGTGTGGAATTTTAAAAATTTAATTTCAGAAACCAAATGACAATTTGGAGTTGTTATTTATGATTAAATCACAACTTTTCCTTAGAAACTATTGCTCAATTTTGCAACAATCCCACTTGTCTATAATTTGTGTTTTAGACATAAAGTAGAAGTATTTTTCTTTAAAAAAAAAAAACACTGTCATTCTATAATTGAAAAGAAGTTAAAATGCATTTTACTTCAACTGAGTTAAACCCTAAGACAGTTTGGGTAGAAATGTGGAAATCACCAGACTAAGGTATTAGTCTGTGGCCTGTTCTTAACTTCACTTTAGAGTAAAAAGCTTGAGCCCAAGAAATATTTGCTCTGTGTGAATGAAAAGCTAAACAAGCACGTTTGTTTTAAAACAAACACAGTGACAATGAAGCTGCCATCCAATCTGCTAAATACTGTCAACGGATCTCACTCAGGCTAATCAGCTCCACGTTGGAAACGAACTAGCAACCCCCACCATATGGGACTGCGAAGTCTTAGAAATAACTGAAAGATTCACCATAGAGTGGCCTAAAAAGTAAAGCCCCTTCCTCTACCTTAAGATGCTCTCTCACTCCCTAAGGTTGTCCTAACTCTATGAAACCACCCCTAAATTTCAAAGGAAAAGTGTAAATTTCCACTGGCTGCCCCTAACCCGCCCTCCACTACCAGCAAGTGTCAAATCCACTGAGGGCATATACCCTCTTTCAATCTTTGCAGATACAATACAGAAAAAGGCTTTTCACTTTAATGGCCCTTAGAGTATCTAGATTCAATAGTCTGAAAATGCCCAATGAACACGAGAAAACTAAACTTTTCTCTAGAACAACATCACTTTTACTCTTCATTCCTCTCCTCCTTTCTGACTTCTGTCTCTCGCAATATTCTCTTGAATGGCTATTTTTTCCCTATACGACCCGTATAAATACATTTGAATTTCTACATAAGCATTTCAGTATGTAGACACTCCAGGAAAAGGGAGGGGGTCGTTTTTAATTGACATGAATAGCACAGTTCGATCCTGACACCTCGAGACACAATACTCTCACAAACTTTAGTTTATGGTTATGGCATACAAAACACAACAGCAGGGAATATTGTGTGTGTGATTGTCCCTGGCACCCCCAGTTGGAAGGAAGGAAGGAAGGAAGGAAGGAAGGAAGGAAGGAAGGAAGGAAGGAAGGAGAGAAAGAAAGAAAAGAAAGAGAAAGAAAGAAAGAAAGAAAGAAAGAAAGAAAGAAAGAAAGAAAAAGAAAAGAAAGAAAAAGCTCAACTCTCCGAGTCAAACTATTGCCGAGCCAGGAAACGTGTATCAACAGCTCCCCTCCAGACACCCCTTGTTCGACTCTCAAACTCTCCTTACTGCCGACCTGTCACTACTTCCAAAGAAAGAATTTTGTAAGAAATGGGAGCGATCTAGCGCAGCCCACGTGTTGAGAAAGCACCCGCTGCTGAGAGATGAACTGAATTCGAAAACGTCTGCGGAGGAAAGAGAGAGAGCGATTCCCCGACCCGGGGAACCGCGCGCCAGGTGTGGTCGAGCTCACAGCTGGATCCGCCGGGGAAGCCCCTCCAAGGGCCACTGCCTTGGGGCTCCCTTCTGCGTGCCTCTGCTGCTCTCCTCGTCAAACGGGGTCCCGGGGGAGGCCCCCCGAGGAGGAGAAAGAAACAAACTCTCCAGCCTGCCCTCCTCCTCCACCCCCTCCCCCCAAAAAAGTGCTCAGCGACACCCCCAGCTCTGCACGGTGCCCCGCGCGCGGGGCTCGGGCGCTTACCTGTTCCCGGGGGATGCAGGGCAGGGACGTCCTCCGGTGGGACTTGCCGCCGCAGCCCGACATCTCGGCGGACACCACGGAGCTGGACCGCCGCCGCCGCTTCAGCACCACCGGGCTCTCCTCCCGGGCCCCGGCGTCGCGCGGGGACCCCGAACGCTCCCTCGGGGCGGCCCCCGAGCACTGCGGCAAGATCCGCTCCAAGTACCTGGCCAGCAGCAGCCCCAGCGCGCCGGCCCAGCGCGCCAGGTGAGGTCTCCAGGCGACCTTGAAGCGCTCCAGGGAGACCAGGGCCACCGTCCGGACGGCGCTAGTCGCGGCGACCATGAGGTCGCGCGGCCGCAGCCTCGGCACCAGCCATGTCGCGGCCGCCAGGCAGCCGAGCGCCACCCCCGCGGCGGGCAGCGACGGCGAGCGAGCGTCCCCGACGCCCAGCGCCAGCTGCGCGAGCGCCTCCCCGGCGCAGCCGGCGGCCAGCAGCGCCCCGGCCCGCGGCAGGCGCACCCCGGCGCGCTGGAGGCAGCAGCCCATGCAGGACCAGGCGCACAGCACACTGACCGGCAGCGCCCAGCGCCGCGCCCACGGCCCGCCTCCCCGCCCGCCCGCGCCCCCGGCCCCGCCCGCGCCCGCGCCCGCCGCCCCCCCCGACGCCCGCCGCGGCGGCCGCGCCGCCCGGCCCAGCAGCAGCGCCAGCAGCAGCGCCAGGGAGCCCGCGCGCAGCGCCCACCCAACTTTCCCGGGCACCCGCGCCATGGTGCGACCCCCCCCAGACCCCGCCGCGCCCCTGCGACCCGCCCCCGCGCCCCGCAACTCCGAGCCCCGCGCCCCTGCAGCTCCGAGCCCCGCGCCCCTGCAACTCCGAGCCCGCGCCCCTGCAGCTCCGAGCCCCGCGTCCCTGCAACTCCGATCCTCGCACCCCTGCAGCTCCGAGCCCCGCGCCCCTGCAACTCCAAAACCCGCGCCCCGCAACTCCGATCCTCGCGCCCCTGCAACTCCAAAACCCCGGCCCCTGCAACTCCAAAGCCCGCGCCCCGCAACTCCGATCCTCGCGTCCCTGCAGCTCCGAGCTCCGCGCCCCTGCAACTCCTAGCCCCGCGCCCCTGCAGCTCAGAGCCCCGCGCTCCTGCAGCTCAGAGCCCCGCGCCCCTGCGATTCCAAACCCCGCTTCCCTGCAACTCAGAACCCCGCGCCCCTCAGAACCCCGCGCCCCGAGCCCCGCCTCTAGCGCGCGCCGCCCCGGCCCGCGCCCCCCGCCCAGCCCCCAGCGCAACGGCCGCCGCTGCGGGCCATGACGCGGGTGCAAGAAGTAGCTCAGACCCCCGGGAGGCGCGGGGGACCCTGCGGGGGCGCGCGAACGGGACTGGAGCGAGGGAGGGGGTCGCCGATCTCTAGCCCGCTTCTTTGGTCGGTGTGAAGTCGGTGCAGATCCGCGGCTCGGCAGGGAAGAAGCCCGCGCGGGGACCGGGGTGGGGGTGGGATGGAGGGGGGTGCTGGGGAAAAGCGCGGAGACAACGGGCGATCCCGCCGCCTTTCGGGCCAGCCCGGCCGCCCCGCTCGCGGCGCGGACCCCGGAGGCGGCGCTGCGCTCCGCGCGCGAGCTCAGTTCCCCGCCGCGCGGTGCGTGCTGCAGAGCCCAACTGGAAGCGCGGCCTCAGGTGCTGACCCTCGGGCTGCGGCCCGGGACTGTCGGGGTCAGGGGGAAGGGGGTAGTGCTTGACCACTCCGAGACGACGGAAACCAACTAAACTTCCACTGGCGCTAAAAAGGACCCCCCACAGTCACTGCCCGTCCATCCATCAGAGATGCTCATGGGTTCCCAAGCCCATTCCAATTTTTTGGTGGCACCCTACTAATGCTTGTCTGCCACTCCCGCTGGACCGGTCATTCTCTGGAAAACCCACACCTCTTCCGTGGGTTCAGATGAAGGAAAATCGCAGTAGCTTGCCCCGGCCCGCAATAACATGGTTATAGAGGGGGTGGTACACGAGTCAACTATTTTTTTTTTAATCTTTAAAATAAACAACAGTTGGGACCAGAGAGGTACATGGTGGGTAAGGGTTTGTTTGCCTTGTGTACGGCCAACCTGGCTTCAGAGTCAATCAGTAACACGTGGTACCCCACTCCCTCCAGGAACGATGCCTGAGCTCAGAGCCCCTAGTTTGAATCTTGAACATGGTCCGGGTGGCCCCCAAACGAAAAGACGAATCCAGTGTGTGGACATTAATTCAGCGTGGTTGAGGGCAAGTGGAAATGGCATTCATTGACATTGTCGATTTTAGCAGCAAGAAAGTGAGGAAGCCCAAATTGTATGTCGGAAGTAATCTCAAGGGCAGATGAAGACAGGCGGGTTAACTCTAGGAAAGCTCTTCAAAAAGAATCTATGGTTGTGAAAAAAAGAAATCCCCTACTATCAAGAATGCTTGAGAGGGGGCCGGAGCAATAGCATAGCGGGTAGAGCGTTTGCCTTGCACGTGGTCGACCTGGGTTCGATCCCCGGCATCCCATATGGTCCCCCAAGCACCGCCAGGAGTAATTCCTGAGTACACAGCCAGGAATAACCCCTGAGCATAGCTGGGTGTGACCCAAAAACCAAAAAAAAAAAAAAATGCTTGAGAGAAACATTATTTAGGGCTTGGAGAGGTAGTACAGGGGTAAGGCACTCGCCTTGCATGTGGCAGAACCTGGTTACATCCCAGAACCACGTATGGTTCCTGAGTACTTACACCCCCCCCCACACACACACCCAAAATAAAATAAATCAGAATCCTATTTAAATGAAAATGTATAGGATGCCCTGTACAGGTACTATAGGAATATATCGTTAAAACTATTAAAGAAACAGTTTTAAGTATTTTAAATACAGTATTTTGAATTTTTGCAGGTTATGAAAATAATTCCATATCTATTCAGTGAGCTTTAAAATGTCATCACCATTGCTCCCTAGGAGCTAATTTCCGTTTCATCCTTTGAACAAAGATATGATAGTCCATTTTTGTCCACTATTCATATGGCTACTACTGAGATACCCCTTGCCTGTGCTAACAATAATAATCCAGTTTCGTCTTAATTATCCCGACTTTCCAGATTAAAGTGTATTTATAGCCTGGAGTATTTGGATAATTGTTTCAATATGTCACAGTATGTTGTGTGTAGATATGAAACAAAATAAGGGCCGGCAGGAGAGATTGAAAAATAAAAATAATTTAGGGGGGAGAGGGAGGAGATGGCTCGACTCTGAAGCCTTGGCATCCTGGAACATAGCCTGTCTGAGTTAGAGGTCGGTATTAATGTTACTATTACAGCATCCACGGATCTGCAGAGTATGGTGCTTCGCATCTCTCCATGGATATCCAAAACTGTACTGCCCCCATAGAGAGCAAGTTGGGCAACTGGTCAACCACAGTGGGCACCATCTGTTTCATAATTAAGGAAATGCACTCACAGTGTCACAGCCAAAGACAAATGGGGCCCCTAGCCGCGCACATCCTTCCTTGAGATTTCCTTTTTAGACACATGATTCATAGAGCAGAGTCTACCTGGGATTCTTCCCTGGGAAAAAGCCTTATTTAGAAAACCATGCTAATATCCTTGGCATCAAAACAGCACAGTGAGACAAAAAACTCAAATTCTGGGTGCGTGTCAAAGTCACAAAAGAAATCACAGTGAAAAGAGTTTTTTGGTTTGTTTAATTTTCCCCAATTTTCTTTGTCCGCTATGCCCACAAGGATCTTGGTTGTTTAGGGAAAGAAAAATAGGGGGACACACATGGAGATGCGTGGGTAGCCACCAGGACTATACCACCAAGCATCCCGATGATGGTTAAGAACTTCACACTTCCAGGGATGGAACTTGGGGCCTGGCACTTGGTAGGCCTTCGCTTTATCTCTTGATCCATCTGCATGCCCATCTCTTACCTCCACAAAAAAAGGCTTTTGACTTAGTTATTTACTTACTTTACTGACAGTAAACAAAAATAATAAATGTTAATAATAAACCCGTAAGGTATGCAATAGTGCAACAGAGGTAGGGTCCTTGGGTCTAAATCTCTCCCCATTCTCAACACAAGTTGGCACCAGAAGGCTATTTGTCCCACCAAAAATCACAAAAGGCACATTCCTCAGCCTCACCCCATTTTCTTCCAGAACCCCTGGCAGGTGAGGACAACAAACATGTCAGATAAAACAAGGCTCAGGTCACCATATGCATAACAATCACCCAGGAAAGAAAACCAGTCCATTTTCAACACACAGTGATGCATCCTAATTCTGGAGGGTCACCAAAGAGCTCAAGAGAAGGAAAACCTGGTGCTCAGAGTAAAACGGAGTGTGGATAATGAGGGAAATTTTTTCCACTTTAACTCCATTATGCACTCCACTTAGCCAAATCTGGTGCAAACAGTTTCTCTAATTTCTTGAGAAGAACATCTAGAACTTAGCTCGTATCACTGTATTACTCAAATATAGGTTCAGAGTTTATATTCCATATTATCAGTTCTCTCATTCTCTATACTGTAATTCACACACACACACACACATGCGCATGTGCACACACACATATTTCACATTTGAAAGTTGCTAAGATAATAGATGGTCAAGAATCTCATGACAAGAAAATCGTGTGTAACAATGTATAGTGGCAGAAGTTAATTAAGTGACTTATGGAGATCATTCTGCACTACATACAAATGTTAAATCATTCTGTTAGACACACATCAATTGCATCTCAGTAAAAATATAAAAATATCATATAAAGAAGATAGTTAAAATGTATTTTATATATACTTACATACTCAAGAAGCCACCCCTCTAAATTGTTGAATTAATAATCTGTAGCTCAAAATGGATCTCGGAGTTAAATCATGCAAGTAATACTCCTACAGAACGTTGCTTTACAAATATCTAAATAAATGACTTTATGAGAACCAGGTAGCAAATCCAAAGTTTTGAAAACTTGGTATTCATTCTCTGATGGACACAGGGATGGAAGGGGTGGATTCAGCTAAAAATATAATTAGCAGGTCAGCTGGGGAATCTAGGATTAGGAGATAGAGGAACATAAATTAGTCACTGAGACATCATCTCTCATATCATGATCTATAACATGGTTCCAACTCTACCAATTAGTAACAATACTTCAGGGCATTGGGCTGGAGCGATAGCACAATGGGTAGGGTGTTTGCCTTGTACGCGGCCGACCTGGCGGACCCGAGTTTGATTCCTTTGCCCCCTCGGAGAACCTGGCAAGCTACCGAGAGTATCTCGCCTGCTTGGCAAAGCCTGACAAGCTACCTGTGACATATTTGATGTGCCAAACACAGTAACAAGTCTCACAATGTTACTGGGCCTGCTCGAGCAAATCAATGAACAAAGAGAGGACAGTGACAGTGACAGTGACTTCAGGGCGTTAATATAGGTTGAAAAACTCAAAAACTTGCCAAGCTAGAACTTAATAATTCTCACTATTTTACATCTGGTCAGAGAAAAGTGAAGGAAACTTACTGTTTTCCTTCACTCTTTTATGGGCCTCCCAAGAGGCGCCGAGGGAAACCT